AATGGTCAAAACCGAATCCGTATAGTCAGCTTTAAAAGGCCTCGACATGCAAAATGTGAAACAATACAGACGAGAAAACTAACAGACTAACTTATAACATTACAATTTAGGAAAAACAAATATGACAGTCATGAACCGAATGAATTACAGGCTCCTGACTTTGAACAGGCACATAAAGGTCAGAGTTAATCGTTAAATGTAAGCGCTCAAGTTTAAGGTTGTTTTTTTTTTTAATTTAGCATTTGAACTAAACAAGAAGGTATTTAAATGGACTTCTGGGAAGAAAACAATTAACAAAACGGGGCGTATCAACTCGAACCCGAACTCAATGGTGATCCACACCCGTTTTTGGGTAATCTAACTAGAGGCTCACCTATGTCTATTTGCATTTTCAACACTCGCACTCTCCAACATTGTGGACTAGAACAGAATTCATGACAAAAACTCTTTTGTGTTGATCTTGTCCTGCTGATATTTTTTTCTGTTTACAGTTTCTTTATATCTTCTTTATATAAAGGGGTATAAAATATCGTCATTTAAGAGCAATCACTCATATAAAGAGTTTACTAACGATTACGGCAAAATTTTACTTATTTGTAGATCTTTTCTTGCAGATTATTTTTGCTTTTTCAAGTGTCTATCTAACTATTAAACCATTGTGGTGACGTCAGCCTATTCATTTACCGTGGATTCTTTTTCTAGAATCAACGCTTCCTAAATCTGCCGCTGAAATTGAATCACCAAATTATATTCAATTGTTTCCTTTGTGTGCCTAATTTCATTAAGTTTGAATTGGCTAATTTACTGATTTCTGTTCACTTATGGAATTAATTAAAAAACTTACCTTTAATTTTTGTAATTTTTATATGCCTTCACTGGGAATCGAACCCTTCCTTGAAATCTGTTATGTGTGACTTTACATCAACACATCGACGAAACCTCTCGGCTACCAATGGGTTACACTATAGATGTCTATTTTATATATTTAAATGAACATCTGATATACATCGGTTCATCGGACACACAGGGCTTGTACCTTTATATAGACAAAATAGGCAGTCGTATAGTATGAATTGGTAGCCGCGAGGTTAGCATGGTTAAAATCAATGAGTTAAAGATAGGGATTTGTCGGTTTAGGTTCGAATCCCTGTATTCTCTCTGTTGTTCCAATTCTTAAGTTATCCTGGTTTTTTTTCTAAATTTGCATGTTATAGTGGATATTTTTGTAATAATAGCGAGTTTTACCGGTTTTTTTTTTATTATTATTGTCTATTTCACATGTTTGAAACAAAAATGATTACATTCTATTTGTCAATTTTTGTTTTATAAATATAGTATGATTTCATCTGTTTTACTACATAATTTTACAAAGGTTTGTTCGCAAATTCCTATGCGAGAAAATCGTGATGTGCCTAGAGTGCTAGAAAAATTTCGATAACATACGTATTATATATACTTTATATATGCTTTTTGGTCGGGTTGTTGTCTCTTTGACACGTTCCCCATTTCCATTTTCAATTTTATTAGAAATAATTTCGAATATGTCTTATCATTTGTATAAACAGATAATATTCATATGCCTGGTAATATAAATTCTTTAAATGTAGAAGTGTTATATTTGTATTTTGTTAACCAACTAATTGTGATCTGAGATTTATCAATGCATCGTTGGACACGATAACATGGTTATTTAAACTCACTTATAATACCTTCTAATTAAGAAAAGGCTTTAATTTTGAAAAGAAATTAACACAATAGTTTAAGTTATAGATACAATGGATAAGCGTAGATTCATGAAAAACAAACCATTCGCCCTCCGGGCTCATGGTTTCTTTTTCAAGAATCCACGCTTATCCATTGTATCTATATAACTTATAATTTTTTTAAAGATAATAGGCAAAAACACTAAAAATGGATAAAATCGTCATTAAAGAGCAATAACTCATAAAAGGAGTCGTCGGACGATTTTGACCATGTTGACGTATTAGAAGATATTGTCTAGCTAATCATTTTTGCTTATTTTAGTTTCTATTAATCTATTATAGTTTTTAAGATATTACGCAAAATGGCGAAAAATGGTAAAAATCGTCATTTAACGGCAACAACTCCATTAAGGAGTCGATTTCGGTAATGCAAACTTATTTTTAGATCTTGTCTTGCTGATCATTCTTGATTTTAAAGTTTCTCTCTATCTATATAGTTTTCAAGATAATTGGCAAACGTTAATAAATAGGTAAAACTCATCATTCAGGGGTTATAACTCCTATAAGACGTCGTCTAACAGTTTTGCTATGGTATTCAATAGGTAGATCTGAACATTATGAACATTTTTGCTTCGTCATATTTTATCTATTTATAGCGGTTTTCAAGATAATAGACAAAACTTGCATTTCATTCCTTATGTTCTATTCATAGCTATGTCGGTCATGTTGGTTGGCAGGTGGGGTCATCGGACACATTTCTTAAACTACACACCAAATGATGATTGTGGCCAAGTTTGATTAAATTTGGCTCTGTAATTTAGAGGAGAAGATTTTTGTAACAGACAACAACAGACGACGGACGCCAAATGATGTGGTAAGCTTACCCGTCTCATCCTTTTCTTTTCTCAAAAATTCATCGGAAAGTACCAAGACCTAATAGATAAATATTCGGTGTCTACTTCACAAATAATACAATGGTCTTGAGTTAGAGATTCTAGGTGCTGAAGTTGTGTATCTTTATATTTTACTTTAGTTTCCTTTAGTTTCCCCGTTATTTGTTTTCGTGCTGTTATGTTTCTTTTGGTCATATGACTTTTGATGTGACTCGGCATTTTTGCATCCCGCCACCGGGTTTTTGACATTTTTAACTTTGGGCATTCCTGGTGCAGGTTGGTCCTGAGGTGCGATTCGGACACAAAAGGTGTTTACAGTGTTGTTTCTTTCTTGTTTACCCTTGTGTTCATATTTACTTAATTTTTACTTTATCGAGAAAGTGTATACTATATACGGTATGTACTATCAACGACAAAAAACTTTGTTTTTTAAGTCATTGTCAAATTTACTATTTACTACACCTTTTTTGATGGCGTCTTTGTTAGATTAATTTGTTTGTTTGTTTGAATTTTGTAGTCAGTTGTGGTGTATATCTGTGATGTATGTTTATAGAGTTTTGGCGGATAGATCCCAATTATTGTCACATTAACATATTATATAAAAATAAGAAGATGTGGTATGAGTGCAAATGAGACAAATATCCAGCCAAGTCACAATGTGTAAAAAGTAAACAATTATAGGTCAAAGTACGGCCTTCAACACGGAGCCTTGGCACACACCGAACAGCAATCTATAAAGGGCCCTAAAAGACTAGTGTAAAACAATTCAAACAGGAAAACCAACGGTCTAATCTATATAAAAACGAGAAACGAGTATGTCTGTATGAGCTGCTCACCCAATTTTGTCAATATAACGGAACTATAAACAACTTTCGTACAAGTGGGAGGTTTAGCTAGCTATAAAACCAGGTTTAACCCATCATTTTCTTCGGAAAACGCCTGTACCAAGTCATGAATATGGCAGATGTTTTTCACTTGTTCTGTTGATTGAGTGGACTTCCCCTTTTTGAATTTACATTTGATTCGGTAAATTTTTGTTATACCTTTTTACATACATGGAGGAAAATATTTTTAAAAAATGTACTCACTCCGAAACAAGAGAAAAGCTCAGTGAGGCTCGCTTCTATGAGATATCATATAGAGGAAAAATGATCTTATACAAAAACAGAAGATTTCGATGGCTCATGAAAAAAATGAAATATTTTGAAATTGAATAAATATAGATACGGCTTCTCTAAATGTATGTACAGTTTGTTTTCTGTGGTAGTATCATCTACCTCAATGTTAGTTCAAGCTTTTATATTATTAAAAAAAAAACACAAAACATTTAAAACCAAAAAAACATATTAAATACTGAGTTATAACATTACTGGTTTGTCATGCAAACTATTATGTCTAAAGTATGTGCCATCAATAATTATATTTTGTTCTTTGAGTTTCCATTTTCATTTTCGATATTAGTAATGGAGACATTTTCAGTTGGACAAATGATGTAAAATCTGTTTTATCCTGAGTTTATTCTACTTTTGATTCTCGACTGGTTTCGGTGTCTTTTTTAATTTTAGTTTAAGGTTTACTGCTCTTAGGTGTTTATTGCTTGTTTTTCAATATTTGGCCAAGTTTTTAGAACTACTGAAATAATTTCCAAAATGGGCATATAATACATTAAACTTGCTTTGGTATTCCAGTTGATTTTTAATATAGCAGAAATGAAGTCGTTTAAATAAAAACAAATACGTATTTCCAGCATTTAGGACCCCCAGATTGTCTTTAAAGAATTAAAGAAAAAATCTTGGTGCTTGTTCATATTCATAGAAAACAACAATTACATATTGCACAAATTTCGCCTTTCGTTTGAGCACAAAAACTATTTTCAGTCTGTCACCTATACAATGAATTTAAAATCAAGTTAGGGTCCGAAGACATTTTTTTTTATTTTTGTTTGTTTGGTTTTTTTTTTTTATAAAATAAAATGTACCATTGATCCTGAAAATTCGAACACTAAGTGGTATATATAACTTTCGTTGATTGATTATTGTTTTGGTAAATATAATTATAAAGAGATGCGGGTATGATCGCCAATGGGACGACTATAACCACCAGACTGTGTAAACCTGTTTTAAGATTAATTTTTGTTTTATCATAAAAATTTATCGCAAAATAAATCACAATTAAATGTACCTCAAATGGCATAGAATTGAAATGCCATTTTTAACTTTAGGGCAAATTTTAATTGTGTCATAAACATGAGTATTATTATCTACCCCAGTAAACATGAATGACGTATAATCGATACACCTGATTAAATAATCACTATAAGGTTGACCATATATGGATATTTTTACCTTACAATTCCGAGAAATCTCCGCCCATTTTACATATAAATTAGATACCCACCTAGAATTACTTCACAATACTAGAACAAGTTGAGAGGTTCGCACGTGGAGAAATAACAACCAAAAAAAGAAATAAGCAGAGAAAATGTGTGACGACGACGTAGCCGCTTTAGTCGTAGATAATGGATCTGGAATGTGTAAAGCTGGATTTGCAGGAGATGATGCTCCAAGAGCTGTATTTCCATCAATTGTCGGAAGACCCAGGCATCAGGTTTGTTATTTTCTTTAGTTTTCTAATAACGAAAAAAAAAGCGTCCCAAACCGAATACAAAATATATGTTTCATGTATCCAGAAAATCAAGTAAAAAGGGCCATCCCCTGTTTCCACTTGCACTAAGATTTTCCTCAATCATTGTAATTTTGATAATTAATAATTTTTGTTTTCCCCAAAAATGTTTAAGAGTTGTTTTTACTTTTATCAATGGATTTTGATACGTTGTTTCCTTGCTAAACGTAGCGACTGATGTTTACCTGAAAAAAAGTATAAAAGTTTGACAAATGCAATAAGACTTTTTCCGACCGTGCAAGACCCTCGTGGGTAGTCGAGGTCGTTAAAAACCTACCTCGTCGTCGTAATACTTTTTTTAATCAAAAATTAAGACTATCATTTCCAAAACAACAATTGTACGTAAACATTAAAATATCTTTTTTGTTGTTTTGTTTTTGGGGTTTAATTCATCTTGGAATATGATGTCTGATAAAAACTTCCTCAGCCATGTCGGCGAAGACGTCTGAAATTATTAACAGTATTCAAAATACAGATCGTTTAGATTGCCTAGTTTAATTTGACCTTTCACAGAATTCTATTGACCACTTTTAAGAACAAAAGATGTAATATGTCTATTTTTATTTTTGTTCAGACTTGGTAGATTCGACGAAAATTATGTCCTATAATTTTTCAGAGAGTCAGTTGGGAATATTTGAATTGTTTTGAAAATAATTAGTTATTTCGGCACAGCTTTATACAACTTTTGACATTTACTCTACAAAAATTACCGATTAGACGTGAAGAGTATAAATTATAAAAACTGACATATGATATCATGCCCTAATATTGCGGCAAGTAGATAACGTAACGTATTGGACATTGGCCCGCTCGTGTGTAGCACTATCACCAATGATTCCTTAATCTGTGAACGGTAACCGACAAGTGTTGCTATCATGCTCGAATTGCAAGATTGTATTTATATAATGTATGAATTGTAGTAATAAATTACTAAAAAGCACTACATGATGCACTCTTTAATATTTATTGTACTTGATACCTATAAGCTGTATTGTGTTTGGAATCAAGAATGTATACACTAAAAAAAAAGGTTTGGCAACACAACTTAATTCTGACTGAACATAAAGCAAACAAACTATCAATGTATCTTTAAAAGTTTGTGTTAATCTTCCATCATTTCTATATTTAAAAGTACTACAGTTATGTTTGTCAAATTTCAGACAGGTACACTGTTCGCAAAATTTTAGGGAAGGGGTCAAAATTGAAAGTCACAATTTTAACAATGTTTTGCCCATGATCTGGTTAAAAAATGCATACAAATCACAAAATTGACTACGTGGTGAATCTTGACATTAGACATTATTATACACCAATCATGGGCCCTTGTCAGGCAAGATACATAAAGATTATATTATAAAACATGCATGTTTTTAGTGAAAGTACACAATACATATGAGTTACCCCATTAATCTCAATGGAACTTGATGATGATGATATTGCCGAACTTAGTCTTCGATAAGTATATATTAGTAGTCTACGAAATTCCGTACAAACATGACCGCTTCATTAATAATCAACTATTGTTACTTAATCTATTCCTTGCAATTTTATTAAGTAACACATCACATACCACGCAATTATCTCGTTAGGTACAATGTATACACTTATTACTAGTACTTGATTAATAACTAAACACATTATTATCATTTAGGGTGTAATGGTTGGAATGGGACAAAAAGACAGCTACGTTGGCGATGAAGCCCAGAGTAAGAGAGGAATCCTTACACTGAAATACCCAATTGAACATGGAATTGTCACAAACTGGGACGATATGGAGAAAATCTGGCATCACACTTTCTACAATGAACTCCGTGTAGCCCCAGAAGAGCACCCCGTTTTACTGACAGAAGCTCCACTCAACCCTAAAGCCAACAGAGAAAAAATGACACAGATTATGTTCGAAACCTTCAATTCTCCAGCTATGTACGTTGCTATCCAGGCTGTATTGTCTTTATATGCTTCTGGTCGTACGACTGGTATTGTGTTGGACTCTGGTGATGGCGTATCACATACCGTACCAATCTACGAAGGATATGCTCTCCCTCATGCTATCATGAGATTGGATCTCGCCGGACGGGATCTCACTGACTATCTTATGAAAATTCTCACAGAGCGTGGATACTCATTCACAACTACAGCCGAGAGAGAAATCGTTAGAGACATTAAAGAAAAATTATGTTATATGGCATTAGACTTTGAACAAGAAATGTCCACAGCCGCTTCTTCATCATCATTAGAGAAAAGCTATGAATTACCCGACGGACAGGTTATAACAATCGGTAATGAAAGATTCAGATGCCCAGAGGCTCTTATGCAACCTTCATTCCTAGGAATGGAAACTGCCGGTATCCATGAAACAACATACAACAGTATCATGAAATGTGATGTTGATATCCGTAAAGACTTGTATGCTAATACAGTACTATCTGGTGGTACAACCATGTACCCAGGTATTGCCGACCGTATGCAGAAAGAAATAACCTCATTAGCACCATCAACAATGAAAATCAAAATTATTGCTCCACCAGAGAGAAAATATTCCGTGTGGATTGGTGGTTCCATCTTGGCTTCACTTTCAACCTTCCAACAGATGTGGATCAGCAAACAGGAATATGATGAATCTGGACCTAGCATTGTCCACAGAAAGTGTTTCTAACTATAATTTACTGACTTGGATTGTGCAATGTCGTAACATTTCATCTAATATGAGGCAGTATGTCATGTTATCCGTCGGTCGTTGTTATATTTAACAGTCAAGTGTTCAAATTTTCTCTTGTTATACATTTTTATATTTGTAATAAAAACATAAAGGTACCATATAAAGCCTTAAAATGCAATAAACATTATGGCGCTCTTTTCTATACTTAATTCTCTTTCCAAAAAGTATCAGATGTTTACTGCAATCTACCCTTCCTTCAAGGAAGTTCCTTGTAAAATTGTGGACATAATTATCTCTTTCCTGGTTTTGATAGTTCAAATAATATTAGCTTTTTACATGTATGCATGTCCCACCTGTGTTACATGTTTTTTGTTAGTTTTTTTGTGCTGATGTCATCCAGATGAATCGAGTATTTTTCAATTGATTTTTAGTTTATAAAAAAAAAAATGTGATATAATTGCCAATGAGACAACTCTCCAATAGAGACCAAATGACATTGAAGTTAACATCTGTAGGTCATCGTACGGCGTTCAACAATGAGCAAAACCCATAGCGCATAGTCAGCTTTAAAAGGCCCAGAAATGACAAATGTTGAACAATTCAAACGAGAAAACGGCCTGATTTATGTAAAAGAACAATGAACGAAATACAAATATGATATACAGAAACAAACGACAACCCACTGCATTACAGGCTCTTAACTTTGGGACAGTCGTTTGTTTTTGTGTTGTGTGCTGTTACACCACTGTCCCAGGTTGGGGGAGAGTTGAACTCTTCGCAAACATTGTTGAAAAACGCCACATTCTTTATGTGCCTGTCCCGAGTCCGTAGCCTGTAATTCAGTGATTGGTGTTGGTCGCTCTCAATCCTGTTTTTCGTTTGTTTTGTTCATAAATAGTTTTCTCGTTTGAATTGTTTCAGATTGTGGAAAATGAAAATAGAGGGGCACATATTATCAACTGTTATTGTATAATATCGTATGAATAAGAGCAATGATTCACGAAATAAATAAATATAAGTAATACAATAAAGAATGTTAACTAAAAAAATGATACCCCTCCCATCTACGTCATTTTAATCTCTGGTGGATTGTTGTCTCATTGGCAGTCGTATCACCACGTCTATTTGTTTTTGCGTCGAAACGTCTTAAAATATTTAATTATTTTATGTATATATGCCCCATTTTTATCTTGTTCTCTCTTCCCCCGTTCTCGCATTTTACTTTCAAAAAGCGATTGATATCCTAGTTGTTTTTTTTTCACTGGTCCATGTTTCATGACGAAACATTTATACTTCTTAAACTTTCAATATAGACTAACAGAACATTTGTAGTTTCTGCATTTATTTATCTCTTTCGATCGACTTGTGTAACATAAATGCACAAAAGTCGATCTATTTTAAGGCTTATAGTTTTGCTTATACTAGGAAATAACTCGCGTTTGCATGAAGCATACTTGAAAATATTTATGATTAAAGCAAAAGTACTGCAACACAGTAATTTTGATGGGGTGGCTGGTTGCAGAATTTCAGTATAAATGAATTTTACCTATCGGGATTTAAACGACCATCGTTGGTGGTTTTTTTTTAAGCCCTGCGATAGAAATCGTTATTCTATACATTTTTAAAAAGAGATTTTGGCTACACGCCAAAGAGACAGCAACCCAACAAAATAATTATTTTAAATTACCTCTTTTTCGATATAATAAAATTACTGTACAATGAAGATGTTGTTACAGATACAATTGTGAAAAAGACAAAATCCAAGTTCTTCATGGAATGTTAACCCTCCTTTAACGATCTGTTGAATAAAACAAAAACAGATTAAGAACAACATTCTGACAACTCCAACTCGGATTGTTTTCATAGTTTTTTTTGTCACAAAATAATTTCTCCTTCGGATTTCACAGTAGCCTAATATATATATATATATATATATATATAAAAGTCTAAATTGAAAACAACGTTCAAACCTATGATTGCAATTTTTATACGTGTGCATGTAAAACAAATTGCTTGGTAGAGGGGTCTTAATACAGCACAAACAACAATTTCCAAAAGACCAAAAAAAGTGAAAAGGTCTATTTTAACAAAACGCATTTGACTAACAGGTCGAACAACTGATGTTCTTAAACCCTGCTGACTGCCATTGGCGATTGCCAAATAAATTGATCACCAGATCTAACAAAATGGATCTTATTATTAATTTAATACCAAACAGAAAACAATAAACTTGTGGAAAAGATGGTATATCACAAACATGAGGTGCAAAAATTTGTACACCATATCCGGATTTCGACAATTAATGTCTCTTCAGTGATGTTAGGGATCGAAACGGTATTTGGAAGGCCAGATAATTTACCTCAATTTAGGAAAGACTCTTGAGTTTTAAAGAGTCAAAATAGGATGAACGGATCATATAAACCCGAAGGAAAATATAATACAAGCCCAAACGAAAAAATATATAAAAGTCTAAATTGAAAACAACGTTCAAACCTATGATTGCGTTGGATAAAAACCGCAATTTTTATACGTGTGCATGTAAAACAAATTGCTTGGTAGAGGGGTCTTAATACAGCACAAACAACAATTTCCAAAAGACCAAAAAAAGTGAAAAAGTATATTTTAACAAAACGCATTTGACTAACAGGTCGAACAACTGATGTTCTAAAACCCTGCTGACTGCCATTGGCGATTGCCAAATAAATTGATCACCAGATCTAACAAAATGGATCTTAATATTAATTTAGTACCAAACAGAAAACAATAAACTTGTGGAAAAGATGGTATACCACGTTCTTCCCTCGAACAAAAAAATTTGCGAAAGCAAATTTACAGATCTAACATTATTGGGCTGATGTTTAGACGAGTTGTATATACAGAATGTACACAGCCATGTATCACCATTTTCCACCTGACAATAAACATTTATAAAAATGAATAAAAGAAACCGTAAAAGTGCAGTGCGATATCTTGAATATTGATAAAAGATTACACATATATATTTAGACTCTCTTAAAATACGCATTCACATAAATTTGGAACACTTTCAAACTTTCATTCATATAAATTAATTTGGACAGTTAATGACTGAGGTCAGATATTTTTTTGCCCATTTCATCAACATTTTTCCCTACAAAAAGGCTATATGTCGCCGATGATTAATTGAAGTTGACAAAGCGAGGCAACACTGAGAAAAAACACGCCGGTTCCTGCATTGAGAAGGAAATAGTACAAATCAGAAAACTGAAACGTTCTAGAATATCAATATATGCCTGGTAATCATCGAGGCTTCGCTTTTCAAGGATTTCGGACTTAAGCTTATCACAAGCTTTTATACCAAAAAACTTATTAAACGCTTTTATATTAACGTTTCCGTGTATATAATGGTCTAGTCCAGTGGACTGGAATATGCCGTTAATATGATTAAAATATTCATTTTTTGATAGTTTAAGTTTGTTAAAAATCATTTTGCAATATCTTGTACAAGGTAAACCTAGCAAAATATGTGATCCTTTGACGGTCCATATAATTTGTTAAAGATTCCCATCCTATCTCCGATAAAACAGAGCATTTTGGAAAGTTCATTTTTAGAGTTAATTATAACTTTTGCGACTTTGTACTGCCAGCTGTCTAGCATTTCGTTTCCGGATTTTGACGTGGTGTACCATACGCCACAAGCATGAGCAATGGATGGACGTATAACAGAAATCCAAGTTTCCTTTCAAAGTTTTCCTTTAGGTATTTCTCGATATAATGATTAAATTTTAACGTTCTTGAGAAATAAACTTCCAAGTATTTATATTCTTTTACTTCATCAAAAAAAAACATCCCCTAGAAACCAGTTATTATTTACGTTAAGTCTTTTTCCTACCACTAGAACTTTCAATTTTTTGGCATTAAACTTTAGGTTCCATTTTGAAACAAATTCACTGGCTATTTTCAACAGGGTTTGTAATTTTTCTTCGGTTTTCCCTAATTAAACAATATTGTCAAGAAGAAAATCTTTCTGACAATTTCAACTCCCATATTGACCCCATAATTTTGCTAGCATCAGGTTTAGCTCTGTGTTTGGAAATAAAGCATCATCATATCATTTTTTTTAAATCTCGTTATTTCGTAGGTTTTCATTTCCTAGTTAAATTGTACAAAGGGGGATAATTCATAACAGAACCAGCGTTTTCGAAAGTCTTTTAAAATAATGAGATGTGATATGATGAGCAATAAGGCAACTATATATATTTCCAACATAGTCCACATGAAGCCGATTTAAGCAACCATAGGTCACCGTGCGGCCTTTAACAATGAACACAACCCATATCGTACACTACATAGAGAATATCATATGGCTTTTTCAATATCACATCCATATCAACCCAAGACACCAATATAATCACAAGAGCTCTGCTCGAGGGATTATATTGGTTGAGGGTTGATACGGTGTGTGATATTGATAAAGCCATATCATATACACTTTATTATATATCTGAAGTAGATGTTTTTTCATATGACGTGACGTCATACATATTAGGGGTTTGATATGATTGTCATTGATTGTATTATATATACAATTTACATGTTTTTACTACTAAGTATATAATAAAGTCCGCTATAAAAGGCCCCGACATGACAAAAAGTGAATCAATTCAAACGAAAAGAAAAATAAAAAAAATCAACGGCCTGATTTATGAAATAACAATAAACGAAAAACAAATCTGACAGACAGAAACCAACCACTACCACGGAAATAAGAAGCTCAAGACTTAGGACAGACACATATAAAATGCATGTGGCTATGTTAAACATGTTTGTGCTTGTAACTTGGGACAGTGGTGTAACCTCACAACACAAGAAAATTTTTTATAAATCCGATGATATTTAATGTTCTTGGGCCGTCCGAAAAATGTTTTGACACTAATTTATTTTTAAATATATTATAAACTACTGCTATTGTAATATCGTTTGGAAATGTCCGTGCTCCAAACGCCTGTGATATCCAAAGAAGTCTTCAATATTGCATAACGATTTGTCAACTTCAAAAGACGATCTTCAGTTGATATGAATTTCAGTAAATGTAAAACACGTTTCCATCGGCACTTTTGCAAAATGTATATTATATTCTATAACTCGATTATGCTTGCATGAATTTATATGAAATTTTAACACAGAATTAGACTTTATAAAAATAAGCGACTTCCTT